AATATAATTTCCAAAGTGTAATGAATAAAATAAGACTTCTTTTCTTTCTTATCTAAGAAGGTAGGCTAATAAGATTTTACTAATAAATTAATCCAAGAGGATTCATAACAATTAAATTGACAACTACATGAAATATGACATGTCAGTGGCAAATCTATAAAACAAGTGTCTTAAACACAACGAAAATTAAGAGTGGAAATAATCTCAGGATTTGAGAGGACAGTCCATAATTAGCAGATATAGTCCACATTCATAGCAACTAGTGTAGAACATACATGCAGCTGTCATTTTTCTTGGTATTAGAATTATCACTATACTCAGAAGGTAATTTGAAGAATTGATCACAGACTATGCTATCTTTCATACTAATAATTTAAATTTAAAGCTCAGTTTGACATCACTTTTCATATGCCCATTTCAATCTACAGATACTTCTTATTTAAAAAAATAGATTCAACGAAGTCCCTTTTGACCGTTAAAGAGAGTAAGTTGTTTTCACCCAGGCTAGATATATTAACTTAAACCATAATTGAGGCTTCTATTTATGCTTGATGTGCTCCTTGGGGTAGAACCCTGACATTGTATTTGACAGACATCCTACTGGGTAATGTCAGTGGCCCCGGTCTCTATTGATCTATGGATATTTCAGGATTGGAATATGGCTTAAACCTTACTGACTAAAAGCAAATAAAGAACAGATTATTTTCAGAGCTCATCAATTAATAACCCCTAATGAATAGGAGAAAAATACCTATCATGTAGATTATTACTGTGCAACTTACATCTATAGTAACTTTTGATTTAAAAAAAAATCAGTGAAGTAAATTAATAAGAATGACCATGTCTTTATGTAATGACAAACAAAAAGGATGTAATCTTTTCTTATTTACAAAATTATCAATTTTTGTATATAGTGGTTAAAAGCAAGTGGTCTGAAGGTAGAGAACTGGTATTCAAATCTTGGGTCCATCACTTTCTATGTAATCTTGATCAAGTTACTTAATCTACTGCTCAATTATCTCATCTGAAAATGGGAATATTGAAAATGATGGTGACGATACCTATACCTCATTGTGACAATTAAATGACAAAATGTATGTAAAAAACTTAGAAATCATAATATA